ACACACACACACACACACACACACACACACACACACACACACACACACAATTTATCAGGACATCTATAAGAGGAAAAGCTGCCAAAAGGCCCACTCACAGAGTAAGGCAGGGCAGCTGTCAGACTATGCTATCATCTAGCTGGCAATGGCAGCTTTGAGAGTTGTTTCCGTTCTCCCTTTCTGTTTTGTTTCTCTTTAAACTCGTGGATTCAGCTGTGTGTGCTGGGACATGCCTGTAATCCCAGGACTTGGAAGCCAAAGTAGGCATTATTAGATGTTCAGGCTCAGCTGGGACTTTTACAGTCCTTACTAAGTTCAAAGTCTACCTAAACTCTATAGTGGGGAACCTGTCTCAAAAAAAAAAAAAAAAAAAAAAGGCTGGGTGTAGTGATGCATGCCTTTATTTCCAACAAGTTGGGAGGCAGAGGCACCTGTGAACTCTCACTGTGAGTTCCAGGCCAGACTGGTCTATATAGTGAGTTCTAGGATAGCCAGATCTACATTGTGAACTCTGGACAGAAGAAAATGAAAGAAGAAAAAAGATACAGGAGGAAGAGAGAGAAAAAAGACAAAAGAAGAAAGGGAAGGAAGAGGAGACGAAAGAGGAGGAGGAAATAAAATAAACTCCAGAAGAAAAGGAAGGAAGAGGAGATGGAAGAGGAGGAGGAAATAAAACAAACTCATGGATAAAAGCAGACATTTTCCCCATCTCCCTGCAGCACGCTAATAGCTGCAGTCCGAGTCTTGACTTGCCTCATGAGCAGACAAATCACCAAGAGGGAGATGCCTAAGCACTTCCTCCGGCATGGCTCATTCTGCTTCTGCCGCTGGTGCATCTCTCCGCCGCATTTGTTGCAGCAACGGCACATACAAAAGAAGAAGCCCACCAGAGGCATGAGGATAATGAACAGCAGTCCCAGGATGGCGCAGACAAGAACTCCGATCTCATAGAAGGCAGCCTGTAAAGCAAAGGAAAGGCACAGCATATGTCACACAGAACAGGAAGAACATTCCACAGGGGCTCGCTACTGTGAGTTCCTCAGTATACACTCATTTTCGGATTTTTTCCATTTAGAAGCTCTCTGTTGAAGGAAGTAGGGTACTGAATTACCAAAATGCTGGCCAAGAGTTTAATATTCCTTTCAATTGCCTGGAAGTTACCTAAGAGCAAGGTCAAGTGGAAAATGGTTTACTTACTTTCAATTCCAAGGGCATTTTGTTTTCCAGATGACTTTTAAAAAAGTAATACACACACAGAAATAATAGAAAGTAATACACACACAGGATGCTTTACACCAAGAAGACAGAACAAGCAGAGATTATGAAAGACTTGAACCATGTTGGATGGGATTTATTAGTGACAGACTCCATGTTTCTAAAAGCATCTAAACGTTGAATGAAGTCTAGACATTCTGAGTGACTCAAGCACAAGGCTTTTACCTTTTCTGTGCAGAGACTGGGAATAACAGTCTAGCTCTTATCAGGTCACTGTGAGAACTAGAGATAACGTGCGATTAAAGAGGAGGTACCTAGGCAATCACCAGGCAATAGCAAGTGGAGTTTTCTATGGGATCCAAGAGGCAGACCTGGTGATTACCGGGCTTGGCAGCCATGTCCACACTTGTCCTGAGTTCCAGGATCCAGCACAACTTCCATTGACAATCATTAGATAGACTTTAATATATTTTCATTCTCCTTACTAGCTTGGTCCCAGAGTACATGAAACAATGCTCTGGAAAATGAAATGACCCTTCACTCCAGCCCACGCACAGAGTCGCTCACGTTTCTCTTGTTTGCTTGCTCACTCCCTGATACTGTCTTTTGTTTTTGAGACAGAGTTCCCTATATCCCAGGCTGGTCTCAGTAGTAAAGAGTGATCCTCCTGCCTACATCTCCTGGATACTTCAGTTGCAGCACGTATGTCTCCATGCTTAGCTTATGTGGTACTGAGGATGGAACTCAGAAATCCATGAGATCTAGGCAAGTACTCTACCAACTAGAATGGTCCCCCCAAAATCACAGGATGACACTTAATGATTAGTGAACAAGCAAGATAGCAGTGGATGATATAATGGATGATGTAGGCACTAAGATGAAGAGTCGGACAATATATGAGCCTTGCTCCTGTAGGTGTGCACTGAGACCTGATCTCACATCCAACTTGTTTAACCAACTCACTTTATCTTTCTACAATTGAATGATGTCTGTTTTTTTTTTTTTTTCACTACCATGAGTGAGGCAATCAAAAAGGGAGCTCAAGGCCACCACTCCCAGTAGCCTGTCCACAGTGGAACACGGCAGTGACAAAATCTGCTGAAGAAAAGAATGACTTCTGTCCTCAAATCTGCAGAGCTAAAAAGCATCTCCTGATACAGGGATGTGATCATGTGAGCCCTCTGGCTACATGATGTGAGCAGCCACCCCTCCCCCAGTGTGCAATCTCCTACCCCACCCACCATCTCTGTCGTCACCTGTCAGTGTCCAGCAGCATGAGCTTGGTGGCAAACCTGCCATCCTCCCAGCTAGCTGGCTCTCCTCAGCTGCCTCCCTTGTTGCCTCAGTGCCCGTCTCTTGGCTTAACTGGTCTGATGCACAGACAGCAGCCCTACTGGGGTGCTGTGATGAGTCTCATAGGAACAAGGGATTAACGGTCACAAATTCAAAGCGAAAACAGATGCCCAGGATCAATGTTCAATTGATAGCAATTAGCTATAGACAAGTACTCACATAAGAATCGGGTGCAGCTGACACTTGAATATGTTCACTTCAATATTACGGTAAAAATGTGAAACAAGCAAGGCAGCTGCTCTGAGTTCATCCGAGGGTGTGTGTGTGTGTGTGTGTGTGTCTGTGTGTGTGTGTGTGTGTGTGTGTGTCTGTGTGTGTGTGTGTAGCTTCTTTCTCCTAAACATGAACACTCATTACTAACTGACTCTTTAGCATTTCCTTGAGAACTAATATCATTGGCCAACTAAGAAACCCAACCCAGGCACTCCAAAGTTTCACATACTTACAGATTTTGCTCCTGTTTCTCAGCAAACAAAATTATTTAATATTTCAAAGGAATCTTTAAAGACTTTCTGAACCACAGAAAGCAATAAACTCAAACCCAGGAGAGAAGATGTGTTAAAATGTCCATAGTGCATTACTTTTCATTTCAGCAACAATAACAGAAGTTTAGGAGTTCTATACAACCTTCCCGACGTTATCGACTAAGTATCAGAAAGGGTCAGGAATGAGGCTGTATGATTTCCTTTCTCTTCCTCCCACCCTGCCATAGTGCAGAATTGAACTTAGGGCCTCACACATCACAGAGATAGCATAAACAAAACAAACTGAAACACCATCACAGGGGAATCACCAGGGAAGAACAGAAAGTGCCAACAGAGACAACACTAGCCATTGACCTAAGACAGACAGTGACATGGAACACAGAGCAAGCACAGTTTACCTTCAGAGCCAAGACTATGTTTTCTGGCTGTGGAAATCAAAGCAGTTGAGGAGTTTGTGTGTAGCAGAGGCAGCATGCATCAAAACAAAACAGAAGAGTCACATGAGTCAGTCACCGTAACCAGACCACATTGTAAAATATCAAGGTAGAGGGATCAACATGAGAACGGAATAGAGATTGTTAAGTGCATATTGAGAATCAATGTTTTAGAGTCAAGTTTTGGGATTCACATTTGGGTGTTTGAAAGGTTCAAAGTCAGCATGATCATCAGTTAGGGAAAAAGGAATCACAGGGCAGTTACAGATGCTAACATGCTTGCTATATGATCTTCATGAAGCAGTAACAAGAAGCAAAGACAACTCTTCCAAAATGTCTCCCCTAGAATGAAATTTGGAAGTGTCCTTCCCTTGTTTAACAGCATCCAATGAAGTTCCACCATTTCTAATGCAAACTTCCTAGCATAGACCTTTACTAGCCAATCTGGTCTTGACCTACTCATTTTTCTTGGCCATTCTTAGTTGGTTGTTGTCATTCTGGCAAACCATTTTCTCTCTTCCCTCCTCACTCTGACTTTCCAGGTTGCCTCCCGACTCAGCTCATCCATCACTCACTAGATGAAACTCAAGTCTCAGAAGAGACGCTACCTCCTCCAGAAAGTCTGTGCATTGTATATCTATTGCATATGACCCGGTATCCCTGAACTGGCCATTAGAGATAATGTTCTCACTTAGAAGACCTGGCTGACGTATTGCTATCTCCTGTCATATCAACTCCAAGACAGCAAGCCCCACACGCAATACTTACCCAGTCAAAACTAAGTCAACTGATGTGCTAATGGGACAAAAGCCACAACGCAAGACCAGAGATTCCTCAGCATGGTCCAGAGATGGAGACCAGTCAGTCAGTGAGGAAAATGAACCAAACCACAATAAGGAGAGAAAAATAAAGCAGATCTCAATGTAATTTTTCGATAAGCTAAATTTGCTCAATTTATGAGACTATCCCTTTTGGTCAGCTGTGTGAGGGGGGAGAAAATTGCTTCTCCTTTTGTTGTTGTTGTTGTTTTTTTAAGATTTATTTTATGTGTATGAGTATTCTATCTGCATATACACTTGCATGCCACAAGAGAGCATCATGTCACATTATAGATAGCTGTGAGCCACATTCCACCATGTGATTGCTGAGAACTGAACTGGAGATCTCTGGAAAAGCAGTCAGAGCTCTTAACCACTGAGTCAACTCTCCAGCCCAAAGATTTATTTATTTATTTTATGTATGTGAGTGCCCTATCTGCATGGACACCTGCATGCCAGAAGAAGGCATCAGATCAGATTATATATCCCATGTGGTTGCTAAGAATTGAGCTCAGGACATCTGGAAGAACAGCCAGTGTTCTTAACCACTAAGCCATCCCTCCAGTCATGCTATCACTATTTCTGAATGCCCTCTGGAGCAAAATAAACCTAGGTGGCTGTGTCATTTTCCATGTCACTGTTTTGAAGTTTTCTGGCTTGGACATTTGAACATGTACAAAATGTTTCTTACCTGGGGCAGATCCTCAAACCTTTGAAAGAACAATGCTTGTGAGTCTAATAATTTTTTAACAGAAACACTGAAAATGTTGAGGGTTGGGAACATTTCAGATATACATGTCCCCAAGAGCCACCTTGACAAGTCCCATTCTGTCTTCCTGGGTGAGTCCCCAAGCTTGATACCACTCACAACCTTGATTCCCACATCTACCAACCCTAAGGACCTCCCATTGTAACTGATTACCAAGCTCCTCTTCCCTTACAGAATATGAGTCCAGGTCTGGGGAAGGCCAGGTATCTGTATTTTAAGAAAGCTCTCATGTGAAGATTACAACTGAGTAATTTGGGGAAATCTGTCCTCAGTCGGTATTGTGGCTGGTCATACTGGATCTAGAAAGGTCACTCTACTTATAAGGTATAACGAACTGCTAATTCTTTTGTAACTCCTCTAACCCAACAATCAGCCTGTCTGGTATATTTGACATGGTACAATAAACACCTCCATAGACTTGGGTGGGTGAATTTCCACTGATCTTTTTCCAAATGAGTTGTCATACGGGATAAATTTATTTCTGTGTTACACAGCAGTTAAAATCATGATTCTGCACCTTGGTATCCTATGATTCTCTACTCAGTTGTCTATTATAACCACTTAGGGATCTGTTAAAAATACCAGTAGCCAGCCCTGAAGAACAATATCAAAAACTTTAGGGAACATCCACAGTATCGCTACTAATGCCATGCTGAAGCTCGGTTCCCTTATGAGCAGAATAAGCAGAAAATGTACCTGATGAGGCTTTTGCAAAAACTAAAGAGGAAATGGTAGCCAGGGACATAATGGTTACTCTGCTGTCAGTGCTTTGTCGTGATGGGGATGAGCTGGTACTCGTGAAGGTTACAGGCTTGAGCTTACTGCAGGTAGTAAAACCCAATAATTTCTGCAGTGTACTGTCTTCTAAGTACCCTTAAAGATCCCTGGGTTGGGCTTTCCTCATGGAAAATAGGATGTGAATTCAGGCTAGGGGTGTACCTTCTCCCTCTGAAGACATATTGAACAGGTAGCTGGACAACTTCCAGGCCCCTCTGTCATCTTGGAGTCTTCAGACAGATCCAAGTGAGGTGATGTTCCCATTTCTACCCACTCCCAGAAGAACCCTTGCCGTTTGGGCTGTCAGATTAGCCAGGCATGCTAATGTTTTCCAGATACATGGAAAGCAACCGTCATTGTATTTTGCCCAGAGATGTGAGCCAATCTGAGCAATGCTTTGGTGATAAAATGAAGTGAGAATACTGAAGGCTAATGAATGCTCTTTAGAGTTCTAGGAGGGTAGTGAACAGAGGGTAACGTGGTTCCCTCTTCAACAGTCCCACAGTTGGCCTGGCTGCCGGCCACAACAGTTTCCCTCTTTGACTTTATAGTCACCCTTTCCTTGTGTTGCCCATTAGAATCTGAGGTGCTGATGAAGCCATTTCTAACTCCAAGATCTGGACTCATTAGCCTTTGGGGGAGTGGGCATTCACATTCAGACCTGTGCTGTCTATCTCTTTGTCCCCCTGGACACCATCCTCAGAGCAAAATAGGAAACAGCAACATGTCCTACTGACTTCACTGGGGGCTGAGACTATGACAAACACATTTCCCTGGTTTTTAACACTCGACATTCAACACACAAAGATCCATGTGTTTTCAGGGTCTTCTACTCACAACTAACCAAAATCAAAGGAACTTTCTTAGTTTGGGTCCCAGAAGTAAATAGAGGATCAGCAGTGCCTGGTGGGCTGGGCAGACATCAGCAAGACCCTTTAAAGCTCTCTGAAAACCCTGGCCACTCACCTCCTATTATTATCCAGCTTGGGTCACTTCTTCCTCTCTGGACCAACTATTCACCTTTTCCACACCTGATCTCCTCTCACCTGGCCGCCAGCACTCCCAGAGCATCCCCTACCACCCATCCCCGGTCCTCTCCACTTCTGCAGAGGTCACTACTTGTAGTCAGAGCTTCTGCTCAGAGTGACTTCCTTCCCTCTGTTGCTCTGGGTATTGCTTCATACCTATGGATTTTCTTATCACCCTCTGCACTGACCCCATAAGGCCCTGCCCTTGCTTGTCCAAGACCAACCTTGTTTATCTCTGCCATTGCTTTAATTCCAACCAAGTATGCACACCTAGGCAGGTGCTCCACAAACCCAGCAATGAACACAGATGGGAAGTTGCTGTGTAGCACAGAATTTTCGAACCTCCCTGGCATTGGTTCTGGCTTCTAAGGAGTCTCAAACATTTCTGCTTATAGAGTTTCCCTCCCTTAGCTAAAACACAAACAAACAAAATTTAGTATTTCTTTTCAGGAAATTTTAAAATGACATGTAACTTCTTTCCCCGCAACAACCAATTTTGAAATTTCTGCTGCCACTAAAATGAGGTTTAGAAAATATGACAATATTCCATAAAAATTCTTAGTCAAAAAAGTTACCAAATTACAGGTAAAAAAAAATGGTTGTTTAAAGGCTTGTGTTCATATCAGACATGTTCTTTCTCCTATTTGCTATTCTTAATAACAAAAGCAAAAGGTTACCTCCTTGGAATCAACTGAGATGTCAAACTTCTTCTGTATGAGTTTTCTGATCAAATCTGTAACAAAAAAAAAAAATCACAAAGTAGAAAAAAGTATTTTTTCAGTAAAAGTATACAATGCATATACATAAGGCCTATTAGGTACTTATAAATTACTTCAGGTAGAGATAACATCCTTATAATAGTAGTCCAGTTCCTAAGTTAGGTACGCAATTAAGCTAACAAGCCTAACTTTACAGTGAAATTGCTAGGTTTTTTAAACATTTATTTGAACATGCTCCCAAATGAGCATGGATGGAAAAGTAAATATTTCCCATGACATTTCAGAGTTTTCATACACTGCTTACACGGAGGAGGAGGGAGTTCTCACGTTAATAACTCCTGGTTGGCTTTGAAGACTCATTTGTAAATATTGCAAATGTTGGAAATAAGTTGCATCTCTGGTTACAAAGAAAACTAATGACTTCAGGGCTGGCAGAATAGTTCTGTGGGTAAGGGCACTTGCTACCCACAAGAGACCCAAATGTCATCTCCAGAGCCTGTGGAACTGATCCCTGTAAGTTGTCCTCTGACCTCCACTGTGTGCTACTGATGGACAGAGCCCCAGACCTTGTCCGTACTGTGTACCTATCCTACCATTTTGCTACACCCCTTCAATCAAGGATGGAGACCAGGCAAATGGTGAGCATGGCAAGAAACACACTTCTAGGCAGGCAGCTGGGGAATATACATCATTGGCTGGGGCTAGGTGCTGGAAATGCCTTATTCATATAAAGAAGAATTCCAGGTGCTTGCTGGACATGACCTGATAAGGAGAGAGCAAGTTTAATCTCGCTGTGACTACATGACTTCCTTCAGTGGGGATAAAGGGGAGAGACCCAGAACATGGAGGCTCTGGACAGAGGAGGGAGTGGTCTTTACTCCTACCACTCTCCAGTTGAGATTTTGGAGGTTAGACATGATTTGACCCCACTCCTGGCTCCTGATCAGCTTTTCCCAGTTCCATGGCATACCATCCCCACAAGTATCCTTTCATTATTCTGTAGAAGAAAATGGTGAGTCTGCACACCACATTATCATGGTACAAAGCCTTGAGAAATAAACAAAGCAGAACACTATACCAGTAGTTATCCATAAGCTAAACTAGCCACATATTTTCACGGAATACCATTTTTTGCTGAAAGAAAGACTGAAGGACAAACCATTTACTCTGATTTAGGTGTCTGGTAGATATTTTTCCTAAATTTCAGGTATATAGCCTGCAGCTTGAAAAAAGCCAAGGACAACACCTATTACCAATGATTAAATGAAGCTTTGAAGCCAAAATTAGAATTTTGCAAAACTCCATTCATTCATAAGCTTGCCTGTTATGACTAGAGGATATATTAAAAATGAAACGTGAGACTGGAGAGATGGCTCAGCAGGTAAGAGCACCGGCTGCTTCTACAGTGGAACTTTGTTCAGTTCTCAGCACCTACTAGGGTGCTTCCAGCTATCGATTGCTCCAGTTCCAGGGATCCAGTGCCTCCGTGTCAGTAAGTGGAGGCATCCACGGGAACACGAACAGTGCACAGACACACTTGCATGTACATTTACATATTCATGCATAATATAAAACAGGACACTTTAATACTTCAAAGCAGGAAAAGTTCATTCACATCCCATATTGAGAACAGACTTAAAAGCCAGGTGGTGATGGTGGTGGTGGTGGTGGTGGTGGTGGTGGTGGTGGTGGTGATGGTGGTGGTGGTGGTGGTGGTGGTGGTGGTGGTGGCAGCCACGCAGGCTTTTAATGCCAGGAATTGGGAGGCAGAGAGAGGCAGGCAGATCTCTGAGTTCCAGACCAGCCTGGTCTACAGAGCAAGTTCCAGGACAGCCAAAGCTACACAGAGAAATACTGCCTCAAAACTAAAATAAAAAGAACAAAAAAATAGCCTTAAAGGATGAGCAATTACCCAGTTTGGGTAATATCAAAGAGAACAGCCCAGAGTTACGGAAATGACTGAGAGACTCTTTCATTACCCATCTCTGAATACTCAGATGTCCACACCGTCTGCAACCCAAGCTAGCCACTGTGACAAACTGAACTGGGACATAGATAGAAGAAAGTGGCTGACTCCCACTAAGCCAGAGGTAAAAAGATTTGCAAAGATGTAGAAATGGACCCTGTTCCTCTCTCACTTTTGCATTATGTTATATATGAAAAGTTGGATATTTGGTTTGGTGGTTGGTTTGGTGTTTTGGAGACAAAGTGTTGCTGTGCAGTGCAGACCTGCCTTGCCATCATGAGAATCCTCCTGCATCGAACCACTCATTCACATGCTGGCTTTACATACAAACCATGCCTAATTAGGAAGGAATTCATTATTGTTACTTTTAAATTAATTAGAGAATGACTGTTAGCAATCTCCAGTTTAATTTCAAACTTGGTCAGTGTGATGGTTTTGGGCTCTCAGGGAGTGCCACCATTTTGGTATTAATTTTCACAGCCATGTTTTCTCAGTTACTTCTGGACTGGTCCCTTCTTTACCTTGAAGCCAGCAAGCCAGGAAGGAGATCATAAAATGCCGTCAGACATTTTGAGCCTGACAAACCAGGAGACTCACCTTCCTGGCTACCCCAGTGCTGAAAGCAAGTGTGGAGGAGTATGCTTGCCACTTCTCTCTTGCCTGGGACAGACTCCCTGACATCAGCAGTGTAAGGAAAGAGATGTTTCTTTTGGCTTAGAGTTCAGCCTTACTGCCATGGCAGGAAGGCAAGCTGGAGGAACCCAGTCCTGCCAGTGGCCACATGCGACTGCTTGCTCACACTCTGACAGATCAGGAAGCACAGGAAGAGAATGCTAAAGCTCAGCTTTTTTACCTGCTTTTCTCTTTGTTCCTGTCAGGGATGCCAGCCTACCTCCACTCACCTCCATAGGTCTTTCTCCACAGGTAAATTCCAAGGACAGTAAGGCCTTAGGTGCTCACACACACACAAATGGAGGTCAGAAGACAACTTCCTTCTTGGGAAGTGGTTCCTGCCTTCCACTGTGTAGGCCATGGGAATTGGACTCAGGTAATCAGACTTGGTGGTAAGGCCTTTACTGGTGAGCAATACAGCTGGCCCTTCTGAAAACCTTAGTTTTTTTGTTTGTTTGTTTGTTTGTTTGTTTTATGGAATATGATGGCCTTAGTACCTAGTATAAGATTTGAACACTCAGGCCGATTAAACATTTTTGAGAATGAGGTTGGACCATATCATTGACTGTGTGAGAAGCTTGTAGGCAGAAAGGGGAGATGACAGACTCAGCATTCTAATGGAATCTGTAAATGAGAAGAACCAGAGCTAATGCCCAAATCCATCCCTCCCCAGTCTCAGGCTCTGACCAGTTGTGAACAGACAGTTGACAATACAATAGTTACTTTAGACTGTAAAGCTCAGAGAGCGGTCTGGAACCCTGGACAGCTGCTACAGCCATCACCACTACCACCAGCTCTGGAGATACCATTCAGATGCTGTACACATGTTGTGCATGTGGCTCAGCGTAACCCAGCAAGGTAAACTATCACTTCCTTTTCCTCAGATAAAACTGAAACACAGAATTCAAGTGAAGGGCCTGAATCCTTCCACATGCACTGCGTGGTAACGTTAGAACAGAGAGTTGGGATCCGGGCAGGATGCACAGTAGAAAGAGCAGTGGGTGTCAGAACTAGAACCACTCTGAGTGTGAGTTTGGATCCCCAGCAACAGTTCACTCAGTATCACAGACAACTTCCTCTCCAGCCAAGCGGAGCCTCAGAGTCATCTGAAAGGTTACCAGGAGGATTCTGAGATACAACTGTTGTCACTGCTGTCACTTAGGATCTTTCTGGTAACAGTCATACGGTGGTAGCAGTGAGTCTCAAGAAGTGGAGCCTGGGGAGTGTCTGTTCTTTGACACACATTCCAACCAGTCTATAGCCTGTTAGTATTGCTGGAGGCAGAGCTAGAAGCCTGCTCTGGATCATTCCATGTCCCAGGCTCTGCTTCTCCTGCAAATCTGCCTGAAGCACTTAGCTTAGTAGGTGGTTGGAGATGCACAGCAAGGTATACCCCTTTGTCCCTCCCTGTCCTCTAAGACCTCCCAGGGAATTTGAATTGAAGCAGTTAATCCCTTAGGACAGGGACTTAAGCACACAAGGACAGGTGTTTGCAATCCTCAGAACATTTCAAGAGGAATGATGTATGGTTAAAATATTCCTCTCTCTTTCCTTCTCTCTCTCCTTCTCTTCCCTTCCTTCTACATATGGACTGATTTAAAGAGCATAAACAGCCCTTACTCAGCACAGCTGTGGGTATCATTGGCACTTGCTTAAATTTCATGGCAAATGGCATACTTCATGGTGAGATACCGTGAAGATGGCTCCAGATCATTTATCCTGCACAGATCCAGTAAAATATGATTTTACATGTACAGGAACCAGAATTTTAACCATATCTTGTCAGGAATTATGTTATTTTGTTCTCAGTCTGAAGTTGGACTGGATATGGAAGAATATGCCAATAAAATTATTTTAAATATTAAAAAACTTAAAGTATTTTTTTCACATGACCTGAAGTATGTACAGACCCTCCACTCTTCTCCCACCATGACACACTGTTTCCAGGAGCCAGTGTCACTTCCAAGCCTTAGTTGCGTATAGCAAAATGGATTTCCTTGATCCACACACAGCCCCACAGCCCTAGCATCATGTGGTCTCCGGTGCAGATCAAACACGTAACTGGAAACAGATGTCTTTCAAAGGTCCGCCAGATAATTTTTTTTCTCCATGAAGAGCAGAAGCAAAGGCTAGAGGTGGATTCATCCTCTCCGGGGATGTTTCAGAGGGAGATGCACACACATGGGAACCCATGGAAACATTCACAGTGGTCTTTAACTTCCTCGACCTGGACTCACCATGGGCTGCCATGCTGGAGCCCCAGACAGTAACAGGAAAGAGGCGCCAGCTCCCCTGCAGCTCTTTCAGAAATCACAGAGGTCTCTCAGTCCTTTGTGCTTATCCGAGAGGTCGCCTTGTTAAGGATTCCCAGCTCCA